GGGGGGGGGGGGGGGGTTGGGGAACCTGCCTCATTTGGGGTAAGCACCGTTTTTTAGCCCGGCGGGTGTCGAAGTGATTCCGTTTTTGGGCCCGGCGGCCAATGCATCAGTTGATTCTATGGGGGTGGCCGTGACTTCCGGTGAGGGTCCAGTGAGAAATGGTACGTTGGGGTGGTTGAATTCCGATGCAAAAAACAGCGCCCCTGTGACGGGGATCACACTCAGCACCCGAGTGGGACGGCTGAGCGAAACACACTCTGACACTTGTATTCAGTGAACTCAGTTCCCAGGTCGAAAATGGTGAGAGAACGGCATGGCGAGAAAGTCAGTTCACTTGAAGGTTGAACAAGTTGTTTGTGCGTGACTGCAGTGGCAAACTCTCGCGCGGTCGGCTGCAGCTCACGAGCGGCTGAGAAGGGTGGTGGAAAACCTGTTTGTGGGAGGGGACATGCAACCACCATGAATCAAACCGATCGGATTGGACAGCTTGTGCAAAAGTTGTGGCAGGTACACACCAAAGCGTCCTTTGGTGCTTCCCCTGTCACATCCCAGCTTCGTTGGGCCAGGTTGGATGTGACAGGCCTGGCCCCCCTGCCGAAGTTGGTTTATAACCCTTTGTCCAGGGGTGGACACACACACACACACACACACGAAGCCTAGAAATACACGCACGGCACGAGGCTTCGTGGTCGCTCCGAGGTCCAGCGAACAGGACAACAGCCGCACCTCATGGCCCATGAGCTTCACAGAGATGCCCTTGCCTGCGCCAGAAAATCACCGCTCCTAGGGGGGGTTGTTCTTGGAGTTTCGAGCAATTTTTTGAAGCCTGAAGGCTTGCTTCAGGCTTACGTGCCACTGAGCGAACAAAGCTCTAGGCTCTAGGTACCTGTCTTCTTGTGGAAGCACGGTATAGCCACGGATTGAAAGTTCGAGAGAGCACACATATTTCTCTTGAAACAAAAGGGTGTCTGACCAACACTCTCAAGATCTCTCAAGCATGCATCATGGCTGCTCACAGCTGGCCTTCCAGCATCTCCACTGTGAGCCAGTCATGGAGCAGCTGCCTTGGATACATGGACCACATGATACCAAATGCAATACCCACGGCAAATAGCTCATTGCCATTGCATCCTGGTGATGACCTTTGTGGCCCCTCCATCACTACAGTCGCTACAGCTGAAAGGACAAACAGGAGCAAACAAAGTGCATCGTTCGGTGCATCTCTTTGAGGACGTTGACTTACATGTCAAAAGAAAGCATAGCTCAGGAATGTCAATCAAGCAGGGACGACGTGTCATGCCAGAACACGTCGTGGGGAAAGCTCGCAAGCTCGCAATCGGCTGGAAACCGGTTTTGGGGATTCTTCCCCCCCCCATTCGAGTGCATTGCAATCCTGAAGAAACAGGCCGCGGTAAAACATGATCATTCCCTCTGTTTGTAGATCTTCAATACTCATCAAAACTCAGTATGTGACAGAACTCCAGCCCTTCCACTAACAAATCCCTTAAGCCTTATGATAATAAAGTGCAGCGCAACAACGAGGTCATGGACATCGCAAGGCCCGCCCCCATGCCCCGCCCTAGTGAACAGGATGGTTTTTCGTGCTGGAAGGGCTAGTCCACCAATTCAGCCACGTCACAGCATCTCCTTCTTCTGCAAGCTCCCCGGGTGCAATTGCTGCAGCTTCGACATTTTCGAGGTCGTGGTCCACTGCAGGTCCCTGCTTCGGCATTCGTCCTCCAAATCTTCCACGCTCATCTGTTGCCACACCAAGTGACGTCCTGAGAGCGAGAGCGAATCGCCTTCCTGCTTGGGGGTTTTGATGGGTTTGGTGCTTTGTTGGCATATCAGGATGGTGGGGCCGGTGAACTCCGTGATGCTGAGTGAAACCGACCAACCTCAGCCTACAGATGTCTGCAGCACCTCATGGATGGAGGCAGCTGGAAAACCACCGCCACCGTGTGCTTCAAACGCTGCACCATTCTGCTCTGGCACGTCGTGCGGTATCCGGAAAACACATGGTTCACATGGTTTCACCCAATAGATGGTACCACAGGCACTGAGGTACCCTGCTTTCTTGCAAATACATCCTGCCAGCCAGCCCTTAAAAACTCAACTCTTTGGAATTCCTCCCAGAAACTTTCGAGCTCCAACTCAAAAAACTCGACTGACTGGCTCATACTGTTTCTGCTACAAATCCATGCCAAGAAAGCTGACGTCATACACTACGTCATACTACGTCACCACGTTTGAAGCCAAGTGCAATCGGGCCCCAGTTTGGGGGGGCGTCCACTATGTATAACGCCCCCTATAAGAACTCATTTGATGCGGGGTGTCCATAGGCCACCCCAACAGTGGGTGGCAATGGGTGGTATAGGTACAAAACCGCTTAATGGCACCATGCTCGGGTGCTTCTGCTGTGGACTTCCCCGATGCTTTGGACGCCAACACATGTACTACCAGTAGAATGGACTAGGTCTCCATAGCATTCCACGCGAATCATTTCACGACCAAGCCAAGCATCGCAGGCGGCTCAACAGCTTCGACTTGGAGGCGCTCTGCTCCAGCGGCAGCTGTCTTCGCCGCAGCTCCGCCCGGAGCTGCCCTGACCGGTGGAATCACCGCCCGGTCACAGAGAACGACCTTCGGTCGCCCCCAACGACCTTCGGTCACGAACGTCGCGAAGACCCGGAGGAGTAAGTTCCAGTGGCAACAGGGCAGTTCAGCCTTTCGAATTTCATCGGCTGCAGCTGATGTGTTTTCAAACTCATACACCTTCGTCAAGCCAAGCAGCGCTCGTCCTTCTTCTCCAGTCGCTTCAGCTGGTCCAACAAGCCTCCCATGACTTCCGCTCATGGCTACTTCTTTACCAGCTTTGAGGCGGCACATGAAGCTTTGTAGAACCCAAGAGCCGCGGAGTGTCAATGCGTTTCATCTGGTTTGGAAGTCTAACTTCCAATGTGTTCTTGTGTTTTTTTAACCCCCTGTTCAACCTCCTACAGTATTTCCTAAGTTCCTCTATGTTCCTATCTAAAATTCCTGAGGTGTTGAGATCCACAACCCTCCTTCCGCAGCCCCTTGTCTCACGCCCACGCCGAACAAGCATGACCGGCACCTTGGGCCACCAGCACACTGGGGAGCTTCATCACGGGGATCTCCAAGGCATGCCAACTCCTCGGGCGCGGGACCGGCGCGGTCGGAACCCGTCCGGTCTCGTCCGGTCCCGGTGGGACGTGTAGTCCGGGCAGAAGTCCCGGGCAGGAACAAGTGACAGGTGAGAGATGGATGAGATCACGGTGGACTACCACTGAGGAATTGGTCACGGACTGTCAACTACCACCACGGATGCAGTGATGGATGGGATTATGAAGGATTTGTGTCTTTCTGAGTGTGACTGTGGGCTGAGCGCACTCACTTGCGCACGACCGCGTGTGTGGTGGAAGACAGAAAAAGGACCGAGGATCCGATGATGGACTCACCAAACGTTTGGATTGAAGTCCACATCACTGGTGCCCAAAGGTGCCCAAAGGTGCCAAAAGGGCGGATGGAGAAGTGGGGAAACAAACAACACATAATTAACACGAGATATCAAGGGGACGCCTAAGTTCTTCAAGACTCTGTGAAAAATCTTCCACCTTAATATGTGAAGACATGCTGTCTTCGATGCCTTTCTGAAATTCCTCCATGCTCAGTGAGCGTTCCACTCTTCGGCCCTGGCCTTCCCAACCCGCCGGCTCACGGCTCGCTTCCGCCTCCAGCGCCCCGTGCTCGACTCCAAGGATCTCAGCGGTGATGAGCTTCAGCAGATCCGCGCGGCGGTGGTCGCCCTTGATGGGCAGCTCCTGCGAGCGAACGTCGTTCGTGGCCGGTCCCACGACTCCAACGAACCCCCAGGGGTGCCATGTCCGCCACCTGGCAGCCTACTCTTTGTGGGCTCAGGGGTGGCTCAGGGGCATTGCTTGGTCCACAAATCATCCTACAATCGATTTCTTGAACCAAGCAATGCCTGTGTGGCATTGCGGTGCTGAGGCAATGGCTCCTTCTCCTTGCACAGCTGACGCAAGTGCGAGAGTGAGAGCTCCTGGTAGAGCAAGTGCCTCAGGATGCAAAACTGTCCATAACAGATTCCATAACCCTATAGGTACTAACATTCAACTCCCGTAGTATCTTAGACTAGATCCCATGATATCCCACGGTTTGCTTGATCTTTTTCATGGAAACCAATCCCATTCAACCCTGTATGTTCAAAAACTGCTTGCACCACAACCCCATGTCTTGGAACCCGCATCTTGCCGCCGAATGTGGTTTCACAGGTTGTTTTTATGGTTAAGATTTCTGCTGGGTGGAAAAAGAAACGGCCGGCGGCCAGAACTGTGTATCGTTCAGCATGCATCTATTTTGAAGATTCTAGAAGAACCCTCCCAAACTCCTCCCTGGCTGTCAGCGCCAAGTAACTCCTTCAGTTGTTCTCTGAGGCTTTCCGGCTCCATGTCATCCGCGTAGGCAAAGCCACGGCTCTTGTAGAGGCGTCCCAAGTCGCCCGTGGACATCTGTTCCAAGCGGTCGAACCTCACAGCTGAGAATGAATCCCCAGGCTCCACAAGGAAGAAAGTACATCAAGGAAAACACAAAAGTCAAGCAAAATCTATATAAATAGCATTCATGGGCACTCGACATCCTGCGCCCAGCAATTGATAATGCAGGGAAGCAAGGAAGCAAGGAAGCAGGATAATTGATAATGCAGGGAAGCAACGAAGCAAGGAAGCAGGATGATATCAATTGTCAGTTTATCCATGAACTTCCATGTATGACAGGTGGCTCGTTTAGGATTAACTCTGCCCTTTGCCGGTCTTCCAATTTGCCCTCTGGTATGCCCTTCTCCTCGCAGCGCTTGCCTCAGGGCGCGAGAAGAAGCTGGATGTGAGCGAGGTCTGAACCCGACGACGAAATCGAACAGAAGGGCAGGTTGGTAGGGGAACTCAATAGAACAACCAGCTTGGAAGATTTGGAAGCTCAAAATACCGCGAATCAGTGGGACAGCACGGTCAGCACTCCACCTGTCTGGGAAGGGCGCAATCTCTTAGGAAGCGGCGAATGCTCTGACTCTTGGTCACGCCGCCCCAGGAGGCCACCATCCTTGGAGGACAACGAGCTGGAAACCCTTTTGGACAAGCATGTGTTATAAGTTATAAGGGTCAATTGTCATTTCCCTCTTACTACGACTACGATGACGACGACAACAACTGCTACTGCTATCATCTACTACTACTACACTACTCCTCCTGCTGCTGCTGCCGCTGCTCCTACTACCGCTTCCACCACTTATATATATATATATACTATTCCTATACCTATCACAAGTTTCTGCAGTGGGTCCACTGGCTAGGTCACGGGGATATGTAGCATCCACCTCAGGGGAAAAAAGAACACATAAATCAATTGCTGCCCTTTAGCTCTAGATAATTATGCATTAAAAAATGTAATCTTACAATATTGGATGCAATTCTTTTGGCATCTTTTGGCCGAAGTCTCATAAGAAGGCAACATGACGTCGGGATGTTCACTGGGTTCCAGAAGCTCGGTTCTGTCTATATTTGTTGCGCCAAACCACCGCCAATCAAATCATATCAAACCACCCACAGCTTTGAGCCCAAACGATTCATCCAAAAAATGAATCACTCACGCCCAGCGTCAAGGCTTCTATCAGCTCTTCCCGTGAGAGGGGCCCGCTGCTTTCGCCGCGGCCTTCCCGCTCGCCCACCACGTGTGCGGCCTCCAAACGGCAAAGGTCCTGCCGATTCCGGGGACGGTGTAAATGAAGGATTCTCGAAATCAGAAAGCCACTGAATGATGCTGAATGATAGGCAAATGTCATCAACTTTCACACCGTCCACATGTTCACAAAGGTGATGTTAAGCACCCATTTTGACGTGGACAGTGTATCATGTGGAGGCCTCCCACTGGCGCTCCTTCCCACCTCCCAAGCCTCTTCCCCACCACAGTCGCGCCTGTAGTGGCTGTAATGGCAAAAGCCGCCACACTCGGAGCTTCTTCAGCCGGACCTAGAGCACAAGTGGGGAACTGCGCAAATGGATGCAAACCCTGCAGAGAGGAGAGAGAGGGAGAGAGAAAAAAGAACACATATATTGCTGATCAATTGATTCTGTCAATTGGTGAAGGACCATGGGAAAGCCCTTTGTAACGCAAGTAAGTGCACCGGTAGGATATATGATATATTCGATTCAACCCCCATTCAAAACCTGGTGCAAAAAGGCCTCCTCTCTCACTGGAACAAAGCGATCGCGCTTGTGAGGCAAAGTAGGAAAATTTCCTCCGTGAACCTAGTTGTTCCCTGGACTAGGGGCACGTGTTCTTGCTAACATGGTTGTTCTTTACAAGTACAGTGTTCTTTACGCACGTCCTCATCTTGCTTAACGCACCCCACGGAGCTCCGCCAAAACCGCTGCTCCCAAGGCACCCACCCACACCATCCGCGCACGCTTTTCGCAGGGTCTGCGCCGATCGGCTCGCGCGCCTCCAACTCCTGACGCTCCACTTGCTCCGTCACCTCGAGGCCCTGCTCAGTCGCCTCAGTGGCGAGCTCTGCCCAGGGTGCCCGTTGCCAGCGGTCGATGTCGCGGAGCAGGTCGTTGGCGCAGAGCTGACCCAAGAGGTCCTTAAGGCCGCACGCACGTTGTGGAGGAGTCCGGTGTGGGGCAAGTGATGTTGGGTGGGGGATGGTAGCTCTCTGCTCCAAGTCAAGGGAGATGGAGGTAGATAGATAGTTAGATAGATATAGGCAGGGATACAATAAAACAATGGTATAGGTATAGGTGTGATAAATGAAGTGTGTGGCTGTTGGTGTCCCAGCACACTTCCACCTGGACCATACCTGGACCCTTGAAACCTTAGACCACCCATTTCACCCGTTGCTGCTGTCCAGGTCTCCAAGGGGACCTCCTGTTCCTCACAGCGCTGCCGCAGTGCACCGCCCCGGCGCCGGGGAGCGAGGATGGCCTCCGGGCCCAAACGCTCCGGCCTGCCCTGGAGTCATGGTGGGTTTGTAGGTGAAACCCTCCAACTACAGCCCCATCAACACGGAACATGAACCTGAAACATGAAGAAAGAAACACATCAACACGGAACATGAAGCATGAAGAATAGTTAAGTGCAAAAAAGCAAAAACCCTTTAATGTCTGGGAGAACTTGTGGCAGGTGGGTTGCATGAGGAGGGTATCCTACTTTTATGATGTCTGATGATGTGACTTGTCTCCCGAAGATGGCAGTGTTCAGGACTGCCTTTTCCACAAAACGTCGACCCGTCACACAACGTTTTGTGCACTACAAAAGGTGGTCACAATCCAATGAATTGATTTTGCATGATTTTGCCAATGAATTGAATGATCGAATCAAAGCCCTGACTGACCCGCAGCACCAAAGGCACCTGGCCATGGGATCGGCAAAGCCTCAGGATTGGTCCCACACTTTGGACACCGTCTTCAACCCGCCAAGTACTGGTGGATAGAATGCCCAAGTTCCACGCATTCAAAGTGCTTAGTTGCTAGTTATAGTTACTACACCCTCCTCTCCTGCAACCTGGCAGTTGACATCGCACAAACACATTAACCACTTGTCGGATCAACAATGTCTGATGTCCAAAAAAAACACGTGCCGAGGGTCCACTTTTTGATTTTGCCCCCCCCCCCCCCCCCGCCCCGACGAAAACCCATGACCCTGGCCCCCCCAACACAGATCCGAATGTATCCAACGCATCCCCTCAAGTCGCAAACAAACTGCGTTTCCAAGTCGCTGCGCAATGTCCTTGCACGTGACGGGGCCACACTGGGACCCAATTACTCTCGGTGACGGCGCCGCACGGCGCCGCACTCAACAGCAAAATCAATCGTAACATGAGGCTGGAGAAAAAAAAAAACATGACACTTGGAAAGCACAACGGGTGTCTCGTCCGCCATCCACGCAAATTCGATCCTCCAACACGTGGACAATTTGACTCTTTCAATTTGGAACTCCCTCCGCAGGCTCCTCGTAGCCTGCGCTTTGTGCTAGTTCCTCGGCTCGTTGCCCCGTGGACAAATTCCGCCGCTCAGCATCCGCTCGGGACCTGGGGCGGTGGCGTGCACCGACCAAGTGAGGTTTGGCATCAAAAGAGAAAAACACAGACGCAGAAACACACCCAAGTTCCAAAAGACTTCATTGAACCACCCCAGCACAAGCTTGAAGTGGAACCAATTTCTTAGTAGTCTGCTATGCGTCTCTTGTTCCATGAACCTGTCTGTGTCCTCAACCCATGGGTAGTCATAGTCATCACAAGGAGAAGGAACAAAACCGAACAAAACACATGTTTCTGGATGTTTCTGGCCAATTGGCACTAACGGAGATGGCACACCGACCCCCCAAAGAAACCGACCCTTCACATGTCCCCGTGAAGAGGCTGAAGGAGCGACAGGCAAAGTTCACGGTCGCCCAAGCAAGCGGCTTCCTGGTGGGCCACTGGCCGCGGTCCAAAGCAATGGACGGGCCCAAGGCAATCCGCAAATAACGGTACTTAAGGTGTATTGACGTATATATGTATGATGTTCCAACGTCCTTTACACACGTGTTTGACATTCACATGTTGCATCCTGAACAATCGATAAGGAGGGAATACTTTGATAAGGAGGGAATACTTCAAAATTAATCGGAAATTATTCACTCTCCCTGAACGTCTATTTGTGTTCGCCCCAGGTGTTTTGTTATTTGTTCAATCAGGATTTAATGAACCTACCACCACCACAAGCACCACCACCACCTCTACCACCTCCGAGGTCTACTATGGCGATGACGGCGGCAGCTGCTGCGTTTAGATATATACTATATTGTTTTGGGGTAACAAACACCTCAATCGTTTGGAGGGGGGGGCGGGGAGGTTGCGCAGCAACGGAGGCAGAAAGCGTCACAACGGATGCAGAAAGCACACCACAAAAGCAGCCGGTTCAGAAACGTACTGCCTCCCACGGTGGCTTCACTGCGCATATGGTTTTCGCTTTGCGAGACAAACAGAAAACTGCCCAAGTGTAACAACCTTGCGCCTTAAAGCAGCTGAGCTCCATGCAAATTTACTGACATGAATTTCTGGCACGCCCTGCTTTCCCCCATGCAACAACACCCCAAAAAAATGATGCAAAATAAAAAAGCAAACACCCCTGCAAATGGCAAGGCAGCGCGGCAGCACCATCAAAACACCGTACCAAGGGCGCATGACTTGTCAAGGAGGAGGAAGTCCAAGCAGCGAAGCTATTTTTTTCCGTATACTGTAGCTTGTCAAGATTCATTTGGGTTGAGCACTTGTCTGTAGGCAATGACTAGTTATACTCAGCGGGAGAAAGAGCAAAGCCACCAAAGAAACGCGTCCGGCGTTTCTGTCCCCACGCGTCCGGGTTACAAAGTGGCACTCAGCACCGAAAAAAGGGTTCCAAGGCGGCATTCTGAACACAACCCCTTCCAATAGATGTTTACACCGGCAAGCTAATGCACAGATTCTAAGTCTTTAACTTCACGATCGTGTTGGATTGGGTGTCGACACATCATCAACACGTCAGTCAGCATGTTCCCCCCACGTTTGTTTCCAAAGAAGCACTCCAACTTTCAGACCATGAACACTGAACAGGGACAGCAAAATGGGACAGGAACATCAAGTAACATCAAAACGAGACAGCAAAAGAACACCCAGAGAGGAGACAGCAAACAACGCTTCCAAGCTTCCATCAAGGGGGTCTCCCCCATAATGTCCCCACGGTTCACGTCCGCGCGCGCCCGGAGGAGCTCGCAAACAGCCTCGGAGGATCTCGCACAAAGCCGTGCGGTTGGGAGATCCAACAAACATATTCGTGACCCATAGAGTAAAAGGAGCAAAACCCTTTTCAGAAATGTATTGAATTGAATTCGGATACACAACTTCTTGGCCAGTCACGATTCGTTTAGTTGATGTGGCCAACAAGAAACTTCCAGAAATGTATCAACAAATAGTTGATGGCCGCTTGCAGTCTTCTGGCGTTTTTTTTCAGGGCCAACTCTTGATTTGAGACAAACTTTTGCAAGCTGACTGTATGTCTATAATCTATACCTCAACTGGGGATGTCCCCAAATGCATCATCGCGCCAGCCTGTGCAATGTCTCCAACCATTTGAAACTTTGGGTCTTCTCGGGTTGTTGCTGCTTTCCGTGAAACGGTCGGATGATCGTTTGTGTCTGTTGTTTTCTGTTGTTATATTTCTGTCGTTCTTTATGCCGTTCTTTCTCTTTTTCTGTCTGCCTCTCTCTCTCTCTCTCTTTGTCTGTCTGTCTGTCTGTCTGTCTGTCTGTCTGTCCGTCTCTCTCTCTCTCTCCATCACAACCTGTAAGTTGTACAATGCTGATTGTGTGACTTGGGGCTTGCTTGCTTACTTATACTTACTTGCCTGCTTGCTTTCAACCTTAAACAACTTGAAATACTGAATACCATCAGTTGAAGCTCAGTTCACTTCCCAACCCAGCTGAGACTCCGAGAGATTGGGTGCCGGCGAGCGGAGCAGGGACAGCAGCGGCGTCTCACCCATCGCGTTCACCTCATTGATATCATCCGGTGAATCCTCAGTTGTGGCAGCCCAGCCATACTGACTGCCACTTGTCGAGCATCGGCATTGTACCATTAGATACTATTAGAGTCTAGACATGTGTTGGACTCGATGGTGGACATCCTTTCGGTCAGATGGGGACCTGAACATATCTGAATACCAAGGAATAAGACTACAGGTCACTTAAAACCAACCCTAGAAAAAGTGAACAACTTGAATCCCTGCTTTAAGGATGCCTCGGACATCGGATTCCCATCCTACCGCGAGCCGGACAACAGGTCTTCTAGATGCGCGGCGGCGACGCGAAACACGTCCGGCGAATGCTACCGGTCAGGATGGAAAATGTATATAGACTCTTGATTAATAACCCCAGCCATTTGAATTGAAAATCCTCTGCATATGGGGGGTGTATTAATCAAGAGTCTACATTAATTCATGTTTGTTCTCTTAAAACAATCAATCCCAATCACCAAACCAACGGCCTCAGTCACTGAAGGGCACCAAGGACACCCAAAACCGCTTTCCGTGGGTGGTCGCTGGTCGCTCAAGTCTCACACATCTCCTTCAGCTTTCCGTTCGGCTCGTGGGCCAGCTGGTGCCTGGAATGGTTGGCGAATCATCACTCCGCAAGGAGTAGCGGAGCTGATGAAGTAGGCGAAAGGCGAAGCATGTCGGAGGAATCTTCGGACATCTGTCGGCAAGTTACAACTCTATAGCTGCAAGCTGCTGGGCAATGTCTTCCACCAAACCAGGGAGGGGATATGGTTCGACAATGCAATGCTCCACCACATGTGCAATATGATTTAAGTCGAACTTCTTCATGCAGAGTCCTTGAAAAGGTCATTGAGCCATAAGGCACTCTCTCTGTCCCAGAGTCCCAGAGCCTTCAATGGAAAGGGGCGAGCTCGCAAACTCAATGCTGGTGCCAACCCCTTGCAAACCCCTTGCGCAGCAAAAGCAAACCCAGGGGTTTGAAACAACTAAAGTCCTTCTATAGTGGTCCCCAAATAGATCGAAGCGATTTCCTATACATTGCTATAGTGAGGATCCACTTTCTCTCCATTCAGGAGGTCTAATATATAGTAAATATACCCGATCCTAGCATTGATCGAGTCGACTCGGGTTCTCCTAAGCAAGCGCCCCTGCTGAAAAACCGGTCGTTTCGGGAGAAAAACGCGACGCACCCGGCGCCGGCGGCCGAAGTCGAAGAGGCCAAGATGCAAAAGTGAGTTGCCTTCCTGGACCATCTGGTGGCTGAGGGAGCTGAACTACGAACTACACAAACACAAAACATGTGCTGGCTGAGGGACTCATGCCAGGGTTTGAGCAGCGTTAGATTCCACGTGGCAACAAGTTCTGGTTCATCTGCGTTGATTTGTTTATGGTGAAGGGGAGTAGTAGTTTGCTTCTTTGATTGCAGTGCCATTGAAGTCCTGATCTGCACTTGGTACACCTTGGTAGCTTCTTCTCATCCATTGAGCCACTGCTTCTCAACATGCCCGGGCACATGTACCATATATGGCACCGACACCGACTGACACCCCAAAGTACCATGCGACACAACCGAAGAGACGCGGCTGTTTCCACATCCGATCAATGTCGGTGGTCCATACGAACCCCCATTTGTTTAGGACATCTACTGTCATCTGTGCCATCTACTCTGAAACCACTGTACAAGGGCTGGATATATATATATATATTATAGATACATATATATATATATACCTGTGACATCATGAAAGTGGAGCATGGCCCCTTGGACTACATGGCCCCCTTGCACCATTTCCTCTCCACACAAAAGGGTTCCACTGAAAAGTGGAAGGCGACTTGGACTTGGAGTGCCAAAAGCATGAAACTCTCACCGACAGAGTCTCCACGAAATCCTACTCATGTCCACTCCGCACTGATGTCCACACATGTTGAGGAGGCATGCCATGGGCTATGGGTCGGGTCTGTCACCAAATTCCTATCAGTTCCATTGGCTCTGCTGAGTGCAGAGTGAAGGTCCATTGTTGGACTTCACGTAACATTTTGCAGGAAACGATGGAAGCCCTTCACCCCCCAAAAAAAAATATTTCTGTGGTGTGGCCGCCCCCCAAAACGGCCACCCCCGGGCGAATTCGCCGCGTTGATTGCCGCCTCGTTGGGCACGTCTTGGCTTTCCACCGAGTTGGAGGTCACCCTCACCGCCACCTGCCCGGCACGTCGAGCTGGTGAGCCTCAAATGGCTGGCTTTAGTCTGGATGCCCCAGGACCAGGGCCTGAGGGGCGCCCCAGGGGCTGGGTTTCATGTACAATTTACAGTACATGTTTCATCGAGACGTCCTCCAGTTGGGCAAGTAAACAAGCAAAACTCTGCCATTCAAAATGGTCAATACATGTCAATACTCCAACGTATGATTCCCACCTCTCGTCAAAGACCAATCCTGTTTCTTCCCACAAATCCCAATGTATGTATGGAGACATTCAGCGAGTACCTCTGAACATCACCTTGAGTAAAGAATAGACCACCTGGCACGCCCAACAACTACAGGTCATATAATGTGTAAATATGATAAGAAGCGCAAGCGTCTCGCACTACTGATGTTAGGACTTCGTGATATATCCAATGCCCCAAATCCTCTTGCCAAAAATGCGCTGAACCATGCTGAGCCCAACCCTCTTCAACTGTCCATGTCCAACATTCCAGCTGGTGACTCCCTCCGTCCTCGATGCTGCCGCTAAACACACGGGTGACCGCGGCGGTGACCACCACCTTGGCGATGAGCCGTTGAGTCACGTCCATTCACGTCCCGTGTCAGGCCCGCCAATTCGAGAATCAACACCATATATGATGTACATGCCTGTCGTCATATTCTTGAGGGTTCATGATTTTGAGGATCCTTCTGACCAATCACTTCTATGCAAAGGCCACCTCTTGGCAGTCCGCATCATACCTTTCTCAGTATATACGGGTTCCATACGATCCCTACAATATCCTACAATAGTCAATAGCAATAGCTTATGGGCTCAGTGTCCAGAATGATAGGTCGGACATTGCAAGTCTGAGGCACAGGGTTGATAGCGATCTGCAATCAGAGTGAACCTGAACCACCCAACCATTTTAAATTTCAATGATGTGACCGGTGCTCAGGAGTATCTTTTCAGTGAGACTAATCTGGGTCAACATATGTGAAACATTGAACACATTGGATATCATTGGATACCACAGCAGCAACAACAACACCAACAACCACAGCAACTACAATGACAACATGATGATGTCAAAACCAAGTCTGCTATGTTAAACTGGCAACTTGAACTTTTAACTTGTCAACCAGTTGACTCCACAATGTTGAAGTCTTCACTGATATTGGCAGCTGTTAGCACGACCGGCTTCCTGTGGAGCCATCGAAAAAGATCTGATACGGGGTTTTGGAAAAGTCCAGCCTTCAAAATATGCAAAAACAATCCCACACCAATAAAATCCAGCCAAACCTCTCGGACAGCTAGGTCTGTGTGATATGTTTTTTCCGTGACATGATGCTGGATGAGTTTAAAGCCCGGTTGCCGCACCTTTCCTTCATCTCAAACGCCACTGTCTATCCATTTCTTACCCAAATATCAAGGGCACCAGGACGGTTTTGCTACAACAGTGCTGGCTTCATCTAGCTCCATCGTCATCTATGTATATATATATATATAGTACTATATATATATAAACCGAGAGAGATTCTCATCCCTTTCACTCGAACGGGGGGCCTTGGAACACCATTTTGTAGCTGCAACCCTGGGGCCCAGAGTTTGCCACTCCAAAGTGAATGGGGAGTAGACTTATAACATCTTCCAAAAAAGGCGGGCCAGCATATACTATAAAATGTTTTGTCCAACCTAAGGTATGTCTAAAATGAGTCAACCAAAAAAGGGTGGTAATTCATTTTGTAGTGCACTCACTGGTCACTGGAAGAAATGGTGCCGGGACGTTGGGCACCACCATTCTTATAATAAGTTGTTGCTCTCGCTCTCTCTCTATCACTCTCTCTCTCTCTATTCCCTCTATGCCTCTCATGAACTCCCATGAAGTCATGAAGCCCTACGAGCTTCATTTGCCAATTTTTCCTGTACAAAATGCCGGTGGCCTGCGACATTACTTTAACATTCCCCAGGTTTGCCAAAAAACATATTGCTGTACAGGAAAATCTGGACCGTAACCCCTCCCTGTGGGGCAGCGCCTCATCCGCGCACACGGATTTGACTCATCTGCGCACACACATTTTGTCAGCACTTGCGCCTCATCTGCGCACACAGTTGTTGACTCAAGCGCGCACAGAGTCCACCGGGGAGACTCAAGTGCGCACACAGGCCCTTTCCCGAATGCTTACTCACTTAAAAGGGCCGTCAAGATGGAATGGCCACTTCCTTCTCTAAATTTTACCCTCCAGTGGCTCACCAAAGGGTGTCAACCTGGAATGACCACTCCCTTCTCTAAATCTGACCCCTGCCTTGCCCACAAAAGGATAAAAGGGTGGGTCAAGTTGAAATGGCAACATCCATCTCTAAATTTTACCCTCGGGTGGCTGACCAAAGGGTGAATCACATCTTTCTCTAAACTTTACCCCTGCATGGCCAACTTGAGAGGAGGGAGACACGAAAGGTAGGACAGCGGGAAGAGAAGAGAACGCGAGGGGCAGGAACAAAATGCTATGTTCGACATGGTGATTTATCCCCTCGGAGGCGACCTTTCGTAAATGTTCATATGCACTCTAAATGTTCAAACATATGCTCTCGAAATGTTCAAAAAGGTTCTTAGGAAAACAAACTTGCCCCATGGCTCAGATCACCGGTGAGCATTGAATCGGAACATCATAGGATTTGAACTATCCTGAAACCATAAGAGGCTCACGAAGACGCTCCCCAGGAGGGAATTGACGTGCTTCACAAAACAAACTCTAGGTATGTATCCCCTCGGGGAACACCTTTCGTGATTAGAATTTCATATTCACTCTTTCTAAATGTTCAAGAGGGTTTCAACTATCCTGAAATCATGAGAGGCTCACGAAGACGTTCTCCAGGAGAGAATTGATTTTAGAGGGGGGGGAGGGGGGGGGGG